TCTGACGCGGCCCGCGTTCCCGAGACCCTCGTTCCTCCCTCCTCGATCCTCCCTCGTCGATCCTGATGCGGTCATCCTCCCTCATTGATCCTGACACGGCCCTGACCTCCTCGTCCCTCGATACTCGACACTCCCTCCTGGATCCTGACGAAGTCCTCCCTCCTCGATTCTCGATACCCGTCCCTCCCTTGGGAGAGTGCGTCGGCGCAGTGCGAGCGAGGTATCCCGAGGAGAGGGGGGGGGCAACGGGCAACGAAGAAGGGGGCTAACGCATCATTCGGAGAGCAGAAACATGACCAATGGCATGCTGGTCGGACGACCCCATCAGCGCGTTGCTGTTGAGGAATATGCAGGTCTTCGCACAACAACGGAAAAACGTTTCTCCTCCCGAGTCCTGGCCAGAGGCATGACCAGAGGCATGTGCGTGGGCGAGAGGGGGGTCCGTAGGGGCGAATTGAAAGAGGCAGAAAGGGCCACGAATTCTGGAAGACCTAATTGGCGCCAGCCATGGTGTCCACACACCCTCAGTTCTGACCCGTCTGCAGCAACTCATGGGAGCCTCCCATACCATCTTGTCGGCTCTTGCGAATCGACACTATTCGACGCTGGCCGACGCTGAATGCACGCTAATCGGCACTCATCGACAGGAGTCGCCGCTGAATCGGCGCTCCACCATCGATTACCCGACGCTCATCGACACTGATGCACTCTCAAGACGGAATTGCGAGGGTATACGAGGCCCCCATGATGCTACCGAAGCACCCCTCTCTCCTTTTTTTGGTCAGCGCAATTTGCGAGAAGAAGGAGGAAAGCTGAGGGGACGAAAGCGGGCACTTCCACACGAACAGCTCAGCGAATCATGCGATAAACCTCGGAGCGAATTGACCCCGTGCATTCGACAGGAAGTGAAACGCCAGAGATGCAGAGAAACGCCAGAGATGCAGAGAATCACCCCTCTCTCTGATGCCCCGTGGCTCTCGGGCCACAGCTCTGGGCCTCCCGCGGCCATCCTGTTACGGGCGTCGGGCAGCCCGGGAGAGGCCTCGACGAGGCGCGGCTGCTGTCCTCAAAGCACCCCGCGGCGAGGAGGAGCCGAACGAGCAACGAGTCCTGCCTCCAAGAGTCAGCGAACAACAAAAAACGAGACATCCCCCGACGTGACTCTTCTAGGGGAACACACAATGATACCGGAGAAAAAAAAACACAATCAGAGACTTTTTTGATATTACAATAGGCTATAGGGCTATAGGGCTATTGGGCTATTGGGCTATAGGGCTATTGGGCTGCACGCCCGGGCACCCGGGCACCCCCGGGCACCCCCGGGCACCCCCGGGCACCCCCGGGCACCCCCCGGACACCCGGGCGTGCAGCGAAAATCGACGGCCAACCTCACCCCCGGGCACCCCCGGGCACCCGGGCACCCAGGCGTGCAGCGAAAATCGGCGGCCACGCTAACCTAACCATATGAATTCGTTAGGACCCCTACAGAGGCAAGCTCTGATTGGGGAAAACGAGACATGCTCCGACATGACTCTGCTAGGGGAACGCACAATGGCATAAACATAAGAACTCAGAGGTTTGCGAGGATTTCTCGGATCGGCGCTGGACCCCCCATCCATGGCGCGCGGAGTGCGCCAGGGGCGGCGCCGGAGACGCCGCCAGGGGATCCCAGCGCCGATCCGAGGAATCCGCGCGGACCTCCGAGCTTTTATGACATTGTTTGTTTCCCTATTTTCCCCTCATAGTTTCACGATAGAGGGTTCGAAGGGAAGTAGAAGGCACAAAAGGCCTGCATGGGGGGGGGACGGAAGCCCCCAGGCCGCCGTTCCCCAACGGCCATGTCGCTCGAGACTTCGTCACAGCATATTCCTGAACCATTGTTGGTCCGGACAGAACGATCCCTCATGAAGATATGCCAAGCTGCACGGGGCCGTGCTCTCGCCACTTCAACCCTACCCGGGCACGAACGCATGACAGGGCAGTGGGATTCTCACTTTTCCAGCCTTCCCAGGTCACGGACTTGTGGCAGGGCCACAAGATTCTCACCATCCCAGCATTCCCAGGTCACGAACGTGTGGCAGGGCCATGGGATTCTCACCATTCCAGCGTTCCCAGGTCACAAATCTACAGAAAGTGCATACCCTACCGCACTTCCTGCGCTTCATGTTGCCAGAACTCCATTCCCGCGTATGACTCTGACACACAAATGCACACCCTACCGCACTTCCGGCCCTCCGTGATGCGAGATATCTACTCCCGCATACGTTTCTGACGCAAACACCCTACCGCGCTTCGTGAATTGTTTTCTTACGAGCCCCTAGAATTGCATAGGAATGAACGTTTTCACTGGTCGACCTCCTACTATGTACTCCTCGACCCGCCTCTTCACCTTTGCTGCTAATTAGGGTTGGGTCGGGCATGTCCTCCTACAGGCGGACTTCGGAGAAAAAAATAATAGGCAAAACATACTCGGAAATTGTCAATAGCAGTCAAAAAATGG